GAGGTGGGTTAATGTACATGGGTGCCCAACCTCCATTGTACGTGACAGAGACCCCAGGTTTTGCAGCGATGAATGACAGTCTTTCTGTAAAGACTACCTCCATTCCAGGCTAGACATGACTTCAGGCAGGCATCCTGAAGCCGATGGACATGCTGAAGTGATGAACCAAGTCTTGTTTCAGCTGCTGCGTCCTGTGATCACTCCTGATCAACAGGACTGGGACAAACATTTGTCCAGGGCTCAACTTATGTATAATACTTCCGTTCACAGCACTACAGGCTTTACGCCCTATAGGCTTCACTTTGCCAGGGACTTCGGACAACCTCTTGACGATCTCATTGACAAAACCAAGCCTAAACTAACTCCTGGGACTGCAGAGTTCACCAAGAGTTATGAGAAAGACCTAGAGAAAGCCAGAACAAACATGTTCAAGGCTCAAAAAAGGGTGATAGACCAGGCCAATAAGCATCGTTCTCCCTCTCCTATTCGGCCTGGTCACTGGGTCTGGGTGAAAAGATCAGAGTCAATTGATGAACAGGATATATCACGAAAGTTGTTGCCTATATACTATGGCCCATGGCAGGTACTTGATACTGTGGGAGCAGACCCTTTTGGGCCTTCTTATGTACTTGCTGTACTCCCACATATCAGGACCTATCCTGTCTCCCATGCCTCAAAACTGCTGCCTTTCACTCCCGGTGACGCATTTCCTAATCGGCCACAGCAATTTGGACCTCCTATCCCTGGAAAGGGATATGAAGTCGAGAGCATTGAGGACCAATGGGGCACTGGCCCCGACTGTTAATATCTTGTCAAGTTCCTCTTCCAACCTCATACTGAGAACCGTTGGTTTACAAGAAAGGAACTTCTCAAGTCTTCCAATTCAATTGTGCGGTTCTACGTGGCTGAACAAAGTGGAAAGTTCCTCAGACGGTCTCCTCGTGGACACTCCTAGCTCAGGGTCCTCGCTCCCCGGGAGGGTAGGAATGCAATGAATTGCAGTGCTACAAGCGGGCTGTACAGTAATTTCGCACCTGTCGTTGTTGGGGGGACTTGATCCCGCAACCTTTGCCTGCGTGTTGCCTGTTTGTTTGCTGTTTGCCTGTTTTGAGCCTTGCGGGACTTCATCCAGTGACCTGTGATCTGTGTGTCTTGTTTGTGAGTGTTGAGTTGTGTGGGACTTGATCCCTGAGTCAGCTACTAGTAGTCTCTGTTTGGTAGTCTTAGGCCATTCGGCCTATGCCTTTTCCTTTGTGATAGGTCTAGGTCCCCTTTTCCCCTGTTTCCATCTAGATACAGGTGAGTCTTGGGTTGTTGCTTGGTCAGTCCGTCGTAGGTCTAGGCAGAGGGTAGAAGTAGTGGGCAGGAAATTTGGGTTGGGTCTTTTCTCGACACTATTGCTGGGAAAACGCTGCCCGTTCATGGCCGAAGCGTTGCTGCGTTATTTTGGGCGAGGACATCTTCTTTCTCGAAGCCCAGCCATAGCTGGGGCTAGGACACGAAGTTGGAGATAGCACTGCTGCTGTCAGCAGCTCTGCGCAAGAGCTTCACCAGGACTGTGTTGTTTGGGTTTGGGCGCTGCCTTTCTACACTTGGCAGCCATATTTGTTGTCCCTCCTCAAGAGGAACTTCGTTTTTGTCTTCTTCGAAGTGCCGGATTGGTTGTCTCCTTCTTCATCAGGACTTCCAACGCTGCACTGCCGTGCAGGCGCTGAGCTGGCACTGCTATTATTGGGGTTGCTGGTTCAGACTGGCAGGTTGTGACGGCTGTGGGGTTACTGCTGCTACGGCAGCCATAGCCAGGGGTATGAGGTGGCGAGGAGGAAGATGAAGACTCCTGCAGACTTCGTTGAACACTTGTTTTTGATTGTTCGGGGTTGTTGTAAATGCGGTTGTGATTCTTGGAACAAGTACTTTGGATTGATTGGAGGAGGACGGCGGATTGCAGAATTGAAATTCGTTTTTCAATTCCCTGTGTATTTCGAGCTTCCGCTGTGCATATCTTCTCTCCGGTTTTGTGTGGATTTTCCTCCTTCGAGTCTACTCTGCAATTGCATGCGTGTATGGGAACGTGTGAATTCATTGTGGATTGAAGTTCAATCGGGTACATAACAGAGGCTATGGTGGACTCCTGAGGGTTGTACCCTCCTGTGCAAAGGACAACCCAAAGCAGCTATGTTGCTCCCCGCCTGTGCAAAGGATAACCCAAAGCAGCAATGTCGCTGCCCATTCAGCCGCCATGCCTGACTCTGCCCCGAGCTTCCTTGATGCGACATTACCCCAACTGGGGCCTTCTAGATGCAGCGCCTAACAAGGTGATGAAGATGGTGTCCACCATAGCCAGGTAGGTACCTCGCCACTCTCCTCCTTAGTCCTGTTTTCCCTCCTCCTCCTACCGGTAAAGCTCCACCTTAGCCGAGGTGGAAGCTCCCGGTCTTTTTCCTCCCAGCAGCGCTGTAGTAGCCAGCGCTCCAGCAGTGTGTCTTCAAACTTGCAAACTGAAGAATGAGGCTGGGCTCTTCGCTCAGCCTCCAGATATAGCGGCCTACTTGCCTCCTGGGCGGTGACTTCCAGGGCGCTCGGCCTCCCAAGCAACCGGTACCTCCTCCCTTTCGGAGGGAAACATCATTGCAGACTCTGATATTGTCCGTACAGGCCCTGTGAAACAGTTTTCACCTTTGGCAGTAGCCGATGCAGATCCCAGGGGTCAATCCCTTGACCTCAGCTTACCTGTGTACAGTATCTGCACAGTTCCCTGGAGTTGAACCCGTGACCTGCACGATAGCCAGTGGTAAGTAGGTCGCCGTAGGTTGTAGGCTGTAGGGAGATTCGAACTG